GATAACAAATAATTTCCGGGAATCGAATGCACCTAACACTGTCATAGGTTACTGGCCAAATACAGATGGGCCAGAACAAATTTCAGAAGGGACAATACAGAAGGGCCAATACAGAAAGGCCAAATAAAGGTGCATTCACCATATGGCAGGCAGAAACAATCCATAGTGCACTATTTGAGGGTTTGAAAACATCGAGATCACATGTCAAATGAGTAATACTTTGCATCTCAGAATTTACAAACATTTTCAAATGAACTTGACAAGGTAAAGCTTCTCATTTCAGTTAAAACAGTTTATGGATATCTACTTTTCTTTTATTAGATACCAAGTCACATAAAATCTTTGAATCCGTTAAACTGTTGAAATACATTCCAAATACTTTATAAAAAACTTTTAGATAAAACAAAATCCACAAGTATTTAAAAATTACATGAGAGCCAAATTTATTTTTCATATTTTATATAGAAATCAAATTTGCTTTTCATATATCGTACGAGGCTAACATCGTATTATAGGATAGACCACAATAGACATAGGTCAAATCTTTAATATACATGAAAAGACATATTATTTATTTATTTATTTCATCACAAGATAAATCAAATATAAAACTCATGTAATTTCATATTATAAAAATACTAGTGAGAAATGAACTCACCTTTAGTGGCCACGACTTTCTCAAAATATTAGTCTCCCGAGTATCAACCAGAACCTATAATGTAAGATATATGACTAATTATTAATTCAGAACAAACATATATTATAGGTAAATCAATTCATAATCTGGAGTCTAATAAATTCAAATATAATCAATAATGATTAAATTTTACAGTACACATGAGCTTATTGTTAATTTTAGCAATTTATCAAAATTTATAACTCTCATATACTAGCTTCTGGACTTCCTAATAATTTCTGATAAGACAGGGGTTATAGGGAATTTATCAAGTCTAAAAGTTAACTTTTATTCTTCAGATTGGACTTGTTTACAAGTTGAATAAATAACAGGGACTTACCAGATATTTTCTAGCTATTTCCAACCATAACCCATTTTTCTAAGGTCTGTTAGAAATTTTTATATGATTCAGGGACTTAAAGCAAATTTTTCCTCCCTTTATAAAAAATCCAACTGATCCTCCTCCCCTTCTTCGTTTCTTCTTCTTCTCTTTTCTTTTTTTTCGGTTTTTTTTTTGTTTCCTCTCCTCTCTCTTTCTCTCTCTCTTCCGCCTCTCTCTCTCTCTCTTGCTCTCGCCATGGCTGCAGGACGGCGACGAGGAAACCGCCGGCGACCAAGAGCGGCCGATGACGAGGTCCTTGCCGGATCTAGGGGCTAGTTATTTTCTTTTTCCATACCATCTTAATAGGTATTTCAAAAATTAAACTTGTTCATCATAATCACTATCCTATTAGAAACTAATTAGATAAAAGGAAATAAAAATTAAATTACCTTAGATTTTCCCTTTTTCCTTCACTGTCTCCTCCTCCTCCTTCTTCTTCTTCTCTCTTTTTTTTACCCGAATTTATCACATTTTCCTCCATTAAATATTGTTGGGAGTGCGGTGAACTTTTACCGACTTGGTAAAGCGGTGGAGAAAATCTCCGCCACAAGATTTTTTTAATTATTTTATTTAATTAATTAATTAATTATTTATATTTTTGTTGGCTATTATAGTGGCAGTAACAACAACAACAACAACAAGAGTAATAGCAAACAAAGCAAGCGAACCACCCACGGGTGGGACATTCGGTCATCAGCACCATGGGGTGGGATTCGCCGCCTAGGACTTCGTTCCCTGATGACCGGGTGTTCGAATCCCCGCGAGTAATTCACCTGCTGTCCACGCTCTCGGGTGGGGTGGAGGCCGGGGTTTTATCTGGTCAGTGGCGGCTCGACCCGTCGTCCCTGGTTCGGATCCAACCGGACCACACACTGCACGCCCCGCCGTGTGGGGCCCGCTGCCCTCACGTGTGGGGGATGAGCCCTCGAGCAACCGTAGAGGTAGCTCCTTGTAGTTGTGGGGGTCTGGGGGGATTCGAACCGGGGCACGACGGACTCCAAAGGGAGTTCAAGTGGAGGCACTAACCGGGGTTCCCTCGTTACCAAAAAAAAAACATGCTTCTTTAAGCGAGCGTGATATAAAAGTTTTATTTGGGTTACCTGTAAAATTGGAAGCTAGAGTTCTCTCATCATTTAGAGCTTAAAATCGCACATGTGCTATCTGTATTCATGCATATAATGTGATGCAGAAGTGGACAACTCCGTTCAGACATTTCGTCAACACCTCATTAGCTGCATTGAATTTCCTCCTGAATGCGGTTCAATGTGCCACCAAGGAAATTGAGCATCTTGGATCAGAGAATTTTAAGCACAAGAGAGATGAACAAGCCATTAATTTAATAAATGGAGATGGGTCTTAATCAAGGTGTGAAATGAGACAAAGTGGTTTGGCTTCATTTGAAGCTGTCAAGTTTAAATTTGCCAGCTGCGCAGGAATGCGAACACTTATTATGTAATGACTCAATTCACAAAGCATCCAGATTCGAAATTAGTATCTGCCCGAAGAAAATAGTTATGATGCTGATTCATTTATGACTGAGCACAATTAGGATACTTAGCACATGAAGGTTAAAGTGAGAAGAAATCAGCGGAAGGTAAACACAACCTCAAGAAAGTAGAGAGGTTTTAAAATAAATTATAGAACTTTATGATAAATTATAGCAATTTATAACAAATTATAGCGCTTTATGATAGATTATAACAGACTAGCAGTGTATGACATATAGCACTCCACTATAAAGCATTGCAGTTTATAAGCATCACCTCTGTACACTATAACTATAAATAGAGACCACTCAATCATCATCCCATCACAATACTTACCAATTGCCTCGCTTCTAGCCATTCTCCCAGCCTTTGAACTAGCATCTTTTCGAAATATTCTAAAATAACAGAAAATATTAACATGCGACATTTACAAATGTTAAGGTATAGATGTGTAAAAGTTTGATGAAATATAACTGAGGGTATATAAGTGAAAACTATAAGAAACTTTGTGCTGTTTTAGTGCTAATTAGCCAGAACAAAATGACCCAAATAAGAAAAATAACTGAAACAGCCATAACTAGGTGTGGAAATGAACCAAATAATTACTAAATTGTTCGGTTATTATTTGGTCAGATATTCGGTCATATTCGACTCGATAGTTCATTTAGTTGTAAATGAATATTTTTAAATATTCAGCCCATAAACGAATAGAATTTATCATAGAATTAATCATTTATGTTTTATATTTTATTCCTCTAAGATATATTTGATTTGGTTGATTATTAAATAATCATTTATGTTTTATATTTTATTCCTCTAAGTTTAATTTATCATAGAATATTTATTTTTTAAAGTTACACTTGAGATATTTACCATGTCGACATATATCATAACAAAATATCTATTAGAAATAAATTCTTATGTAAATTTTAGCTTAGATAACATTCTTAAGTTGCTAAAATAAGTTTGATAGAAAATGAATTCATGTAGATCTAAAATCTATAATGAGATGTTTTTCTGCTTCTACATTATTACATTATACTAATTTTTATGTTAATATTGCTATCGATAAATATATAAATTAATAATTTATAAATATATGAATTTAATAATTTTAGTAGTAACATATCATAATAATCATTACGCTAATTATGCAACATGTAAAAAGAAAATAAAACAAATAATACCAACATAGGATTCAAACACTTGACCTTAGGCTTAAGAATCAAATGCCTTAACCAAGTGTCTTGACAAATATTTGTGAATATTTACCGAATATCTAGTTAATATACTGATTCGAATTTGAACAACTTCTACCCATTCGACACGAATTCGAATTCGGATTCGCTAGATTAAACCGAATTCTAATTCGAATTTAAAGGTATTCGATCAAATTCGATTTGTTTCCACCCCTAGCCGCAACTGTAATTTGTAGAATTTTAAATTTAGATCAAACGGCTGCAACTGCAATTGACATTCCAGTTGCAAGCTACCAATTTCCCCCAACATCCTTGTGGATTACTACTTGCCTATAATATCCAGTAGTCTGAAATAGACTTGATAATTAGAAAACCCTTTCATACTGTTTGCATGGAATTTCTTGTTACGTTGAATCAAATTCCTTTGAAAACGACTATTTGATGCTTCTTGGTCACCCATATTTTCTTGAAAACGAAGTTCCATCCCCTATTTTCTTGAAAGTGAACTCTACACATGACAAAACTTCCTTGAATGAGCGGAACACACCCCCACCCCCAACCCACCATAATATATATATATATATATATATATATATATATATATATATAATATATAATATATATATAATATTATATAGAGAAGAGAGAGAGAGAGAGAGAAGAGAGAGAGAGAGAGGTTTGCTGGAGAAGAGCTGGCCAGCTCACGGCCCCGTGTTGAGCTGACAACCTCTATGACATGTGAGCCCGCCTACTAGATGTGACAAGTAGGGGCTCAGCGTGTCATAGAGCTGTCAGCTCAACGGGGCCGTGAGCTGGCCAGCTTCTTCTCCATTTTTCTGATATATATATATATATATATAATATTATATATATATATATATATATATATATATAATATATATAATAGTATTCATACTATATATAATAACCCAACCACTACCACCACCAAAAAAAGAGGGGGGAGGGGGGGCTCATTTCACTCACTGTATTCATGATCACATCCTATGGTGGAAATTTTGATAGGAAAACGGATCATCTATAATAAATTCTTTATATTGCTTACTGTGGTGGATCAATTAAAATATAAAGATTTCAAGTAATCTGATAAATTCTTTTTAACATCTAAGGTTGTGATATAAATAATGCATATGTACATAACAATCATAGTCATGCGGTCCGTATTAAATTATTCCTCTGGGTCCATCTTTGGATCTAATAAAGGTGAGTTACGTTGGAGTTAAGCTGACCACACATTCCAAGTGATGGAGCTGATCCTCCTTATTGCAAAAAAATCTACCTCCAACTTGGGATTCAATAAGAAGGGAGTTAGAGGAATGCAATAATAAACTAATCACACTACATCTCAGTGATTTCACAGAGAGAGAGATGAGGTTTCTCCCGTCTTCATTGCTTCTGCTTCTTCTAGCCATTGCCCCTTTGGGCTTCACTCAGCAGACTGCAACTGAGGAGTATAGCAGAGATGACTTCCCTTCTGAGTTTGTTTTTGGAGCAGGGACCTCAGCTTATCAGGTCAATAATGGTGCCAGAATAATTAATCTGGGAGCTAGTCGTGTGCAATTTATGCATGTTACTAAATTGTGTTATATATTAATTACTTAGTATGAGGGTGCAGTAGCAGAGGATGGAAGGAGTCCAAGCATTTGGGATACTTTCACACTTGCAGGTATTATAAATGCATACATAATTCTTTAGGAATACATTGACAATAAAATACCATTTCCCTAAATAAATGTTTTTCTTTTTTTTTTTTTGCTTTTGCACATATACCTCCCAAAAAATTTATAATATTTTTAAATTTATTTTCCGCTTTTTTATTTTCTCTTTTCTTTATCCGTATCTTTTAGTTAGAGTTTTAGTAGTTGATTAATTTGACAGGGAACATGGCAGATAAAAGCACAGGTGATGTGGCTTCTGATGGGTACCACAAATATAAGGTATGCTTCAAGTCTATTTAATTTCAACTATCCTCAAAGATTTATGAGTTTAACCTCAAAATGTTGATTTGTGAAAGTGACTCTGATACTACTTGTTGAGTTAAGAAGGGTGTTGGATATTAAACAATATATTCTTATTATTATTTCTTTAGTAGTACAATATTCAATACTCTCTCTAATACAAACACTCTCTTTACTGCAAATTACTACACTACTACACTCTTTTACAACACACTACTATTTCTCTTACTTTCCCTCTCTCTTTATTTCTTTCTCTCCCTCTTTGAGTTTTACTTCACTTGTTTGGGATACATTACAAAAGTGAAGTTAGGGAGTTATTTATAGGACTAAGTTTGTGCTAGATAAATACTATTGATAGGTAGGTGAACACGATTACACCAACCACAATCACCTACCAAGGTCGGTAATGATTTTCAACACTCCCCCTTAGCACCAACTTCTCTATCCATGAGTTTAAGAATTCTATATATTTTTTAGTGCTTGGATTTCCTCTTTCAGTGCTCGTCTCCATTTATCATTCCCATATGCTTCCTTGGAAGTAGATGACTCATTCACATCTTCTATCACGGCAACGTTAGCATATTTTAGATTTGGTTTCATTGGTCTGGTTGATCTTTAAACCTATCTTGTTTGTTCTTCAGCCTTTTTTTGGTTGTCATAGCCTCCAAAAATGCACCTCACAGTCTTCTTGTCGAACTTGTTGCGTTGGTGATTAGGCATAAAGACGTCACACATACAACCGAAAACTCTAAAATGACTTATTGTTGGTTTGATATTCCATAGCTTTTGGAAGGGTGACGTGAACTCCAATTTCGGTTGCTTTAGCCGATTGATCACGTGTCCACACTTTTCATACACTTCGACCAAAAACGCCTAGGCACGTTCTTAGACGAAGCATGCTTCTGTAAATTTTAGCGAGATAGCTATTCTTCATTTCTGCGACGCCAAATTCTGTTGCGGAGTGTTTGGCCACCTTAGCTGTCGCCAAATTTTTTGCTGCTTTAGGTAGTCATAGAATTCCTTTGATGTGTATTCTCCCCAATTGTCTGTGCATAAGCAACAGATCTTCTTGCCGAGTTCTGCTTCAACTTTTTCTCAAAATTGTTTGAATTTGGACAGTGCATCCGATTTTTCCTTTAGGAAATAAACTCAGGCATACTTCGATTAATCATCGATGAAAGTGATCATGTCCTGCATGTGACCTATCAATTCCTGCTTCATTCGGCCGAATATATCTGAGTGCACAAGCTTCAAATGTTTCTTTGCTCTGAATTGTGACTCCTACTACGGTAGTTGATGCATCTTACCATACTAACAACTTTCGTATACGGTCTCTCTTTGAATTTCCAGGTGTGGAATACCCTTAAACATTGACTTCTCCATCATGATCATTAGCTTGTGATAGCTCACATGGCCAAGCCGAGTATGCCACAGATTAGCTGTCTCATTCTTCCGGACTTTATCTATATATGTCGATTCTGCTGATATCACATAAATAGATTCTAGCTTCCGTCCCTCCATAACAAGTTCTCATGAGGGCTTCAAGTTGCGACTTTGACATCTTGTGGTACGAATACTACATAATCCCGAAAGCCGTCAACTGAGACACTGATATGAGATTTTTTGCATACTCGGGACATGGTACACATCTTATAGTTGGATATGAACTGCATTGAAGCTCGGTATGAACATGGTCTTCCCAATATGAGTGATAGACAATCTTGAATTATTGGCTATCACAACTTCTCGGTCACCTTTATACTCATTCAAGTTGACAAGCTTTTCTTTGTCTCTCGTCATATGTTTGGAACAACCAGAATCGATAATCCAGTCTTTACTATAACTGATTCCTTCTTGACCTGAACTGTTGCCAGTGCAGACTTAGCCTCCCCAACAATTGAGGTCATTGTCACATCAATGACCTCTTTTTTGGTGATTGGTGCATTTTTTGATGATGGCCACAGATACTTGAGCATCTCATTCTTCTTCATTGTCTCGATATTTGATAGATGTTGCAACATTGCCCTTTTCGGCTTTATCTTATAGCGGCAATCTCTGGCGAAGTGGCCTTTCTTCCTGCAATTGTAGCAGCTACCGTCAAGTCGCCTTATTTGGTGATTGCCTTGCTCCTCACTCTAGCATGCTCTTCTAGTGTATGAACTCATTGGCTGCATATCTGAGTCGGCCACTGCATAATGCTCATTTCTCTTGCTTCGTTTCTTATTGCTGAATAATGCTTCATCTTCACTTCTTATTGAAAAGCCAGTCATTTGTTTTGCTAAGGTCTCTTGTGAAGCGAACAAGTTCTCTAACTCCAATAATTAGTTAAGTCGGCCAGCCGTGTGTAGAAGCAAAATGAGCCTATCGTGCTCTGGCCTTAAACTATGGATTATTATTCTTCTCGTTCTTGCATCCAACACTCTGAAATTTGGATCTAGCTGAGCAATATTTGAACAGAGTGTTTTTACTTGTTTGAAGTACTGACTGATTGTCACATCCTTCTGTAGCAAGGTCGGCAACTGATTCTCAAGGAGCTGAAGTCGAGCATCGTTCTTTTTTGAGAAGAGTGTGGCGAGTGTATCTCATGCCTCCTTTGGAGTTTTGGCATCTCGCATATAGTCTACAAGATTTTCTTCTACTGTCGTTTGTAGCATATACATAGCTTTGCTAGTATTTATATTCTATTCCTCAGCACTTCACCTGCTTCTTGAGGTGTTGAGGTTTCGACACCACCGACGACTTCCTAGAGGTCATATCCTTGCAAATAAGACTTTAAATAGGTCTCCCAATAACTATAATCATTGTTGTTGAGTTTCTTAAGTGTAGCAGTAGTGTTTGCTAGATCCGCCATCATGACGTGGTACTGTTTTAGTATCTCCACGCATGTCTAGTCCCTGACCAACCAACTTCACAATCTCGGACTAAGCACGAACTTCGACCTTCACAAAATCTGGTAGGATCACTGTCGGGGAGAGGCGGTCCTTGATCGCCTACTCTCTACCACTTGTTAATTTGTGAGAGTGACTCTGATACTACTTGTTGAGTTGAGAAGAGTGGTGGACACTAAGAAATATTTTATTATTATTTTTTTAGTAGTACAACATTCAATACTCTTTCTAATACAAACATTCTCTCTACTATAAATTACTACCCTACTACACTCTTTTACAACATACCACTATTTCTCTTACTCTCCCTCTCTCTCTCTCTTTATTTCTCTCTCCCTCTTAATTTTGCTATTGGCTTGGCATCCACAAGCATCCTCTCTCTTTGAGTTTTATTTCACTTGCTTAGGATACATTACAAAGTGAAGTTAGGGAGTTATTTATAGGCCTAAGTTTGTGGTAAGTAAATAATATTGGTAGGCAGGTGAATACTGTTACACCAACCTCAATCACCTACTAAGGTCGGTGAGGTTTTCCAACACAAAATATCAAGATATAGGGGTCTATCTCGAAATAAATTTAATTTGGAGGTTTACCATCAGAAAAAACCAAAAAACTTGATGGCCAGAAAAATGTTGGAATCAGAATGTGGATATGATAAAAGGACATCCACTGTAACAATCTATTTTCTCGTGGAATATGATGGATAATATTGCATGAGGACAAATATACGACTTCCACTTGCCAGGCTCCTCTATGAAACTAGGAGTTGAGTTTTGTGAAGACTCAAAATTGAACCCAACTGTTGCCAACCTTATTCATTTATCCGATAGTTACAATAGCTCAATAGTTTATGAGATCGGGAATCAAACAAGAAACAGATATTGTGTTCAAATTCCTCACAAATCATTTGCATTGGGTCGGTAGTGTTTGTGCATCTTTCTTTTCTGCCAGTAACATGTTCAACCCTGCAGGAGGATGTCAAACTCATGAGTGATCTAGGGCTCGAAGCCTACAGATTTTCCATCTCGTGGTCAAGGCTTCTTCCAAGTAAACATCAGTCTTCAGATACATCATGATATTTGAGATGCAGAGTTGATAACATGAATGTTTGTTTTGCAGATGGGAGAGGAGACGTCAATCCAAAAGGCCTCAAGTATTATAACGATCTTATCAACGAGCTAATTGAACATGGTATGTATTCACAAATGACGCTTACCTACAGAATTGCATCCTAATTCCTACTAAGATATGGTATTATGAGAATGACTGAGGATATAAACTTTTCATGTAAAGTACACCTCTGGAAAAGACTGAAACACTTGATGTCGCTGTGTATCATATAAACTCAGTAAAAATTTATTTGGTACTTTCAAAATGGATGCCCAACTGAAAATTAGATAGTCCATATTTTCTATTTTTAGAAAAAAATAAAATTTAACATGGGATTTTTTTTAAAGGAATTCAGCCGCAGATCACACTTCACCATCTAGATCTTCCCCAGGTCCTTGAAGACGAATATGGAGGATGGCTTAGCACTAAGATTATGTAATTTCATAGGACTCTAATTTCTCAAATGTTTGAAATAGTTATTAATAGCGGAAACTTCTATAATTTTGTACAAATTGATGCAGAGATGATTTCAGAGAATATGCGGATGTGTGCTTCAAAGAGTTCGGAGACAGGGTTTCTTACTGGACTACGATTGTTGAACCGAATGTAAATGGTCAGGCATCCTATGACTATGGATTTTTCCCACCACAGCGATGTTCTTATCCATTTGGGGCTTATAATTGCTCAGCCGGGAATTCTACAGTGGAGCCTTATATCACAGTCCACAATATGCTCTTAGCTCATGCAGCAGTTGTGAACCTATACCGAACCAAATATCAAGTCTTTACTTTCTCCATTCCCTTTTTTCCGATTTTCTGATAATTAAACAACGCAGACAAACAGCCTAATAATGATGCTGTAAATTTTAATGCAGGCTATGCAAAAGGGTTGGATAAGCTTGAATCTCTATACCTTATGGTTATGTCCCTTTTCAAATTCCTCGGGCGATGTTGAGGCCACGCAAAGGGAAATGGATTTTATGATCGGCTGGTAAGTGCTTGACATTGTGTAACACAATACAACCTTAAGTAACCCTTTGCTAAAGAACTGCTCTGCTCAAGGGTTATGAACCCGCTAGTGTTTGGAGATTACCCGGAGATCATGAAGAAGAATGCCGGTCAAAGGCTTCCATCTTTCACCAGATTAGAATCAGAACAGGTGAAGGGCTCATTCGACTTTATTGGATTGAACCACTACACAACGGCATATGTGAAGGACAACTCGAATGGTCCTATCTCTGGTCTTCGCGATTTCACTGCAGATTCATATTCCGTACTCACAGGTTTCATTTCTCTTCCTATGTAACAGGCTCATGAGAACAAATAATAGTCTCCAATTCTACTAACCAAGGTTCACACTTGTTGCAGGTTCCAAGGATGATACACCAACTAGTCATGTAAAAGCTTGACATCATCTGTATCATGTGGTTATTTGTAAGTTCACCTTTTGGCATGACACACTAACACCAGCTGTTGTTTCCAGTTCGACCCAACTCACATAAACAACGATCCATCTGGGCTTCGAAAGATGCTGGGATATTTGAAAAACAAGTATGGAAATCCTCCTATCTACATCCAAGAGAACGGTACATCTTTTATTTATTTGTTTTATTTCCTTGTATTACTGGAACTCAAAAGTCAGATCAGTCCCTAACGTTCATTTTGAAGAAGGCGTTAGCCTAATATTTTATTCCATTAAGCCTTTATAGTTATTATCTCTA